AGTCTCCCAAGTTGATCACAGTCCTCGGGGGAGGACTTGTCCTGGAGGAGGTGGGAATGGAGGGTGGGCTGGGGGTAAGGGGAGGGCGTGGGAGGGGGGAGAATAGGGGAACCCATGGCTGATATGTAGAACTGAATGATATTGTAAAATAAAAAATATATATCACAAAAAAAAAAAAAAAGAGCAAACCAGAGGAACTTGAGCTTACTCCACAATCCAGTCAGAATCACCCACCTGTCGGCAGCAACAGAGGATCCCATGATGCTCTAGGTCATCTGTGTCACAAACATTTGAATCAGCTTAAGGGTTTTCTTTGTCATAAAACTGTATCTGCACAAGCAAAATATTCAAATAACTCTGAAATGTGTAAGAAGAAAACAAAGAGCTGGGCATGGTGGTGCACACCTTTCACCCCAGTACTCAGGAAGCAGTGACATGTGGATCTCTGAGTTTAATCCCAGCCTGGCCTATAGAGTGAGTTCCAGGTGAACCAAAGCTACACAGAGAAACCCTGTCTCAGAAAACCAAACCAAAAAAAAAAAAAAAAAAAAAAACCCCATAAAGATTACAGCTTCACTCTGAAGTAGTCTATGAGACTCTTTTACTGTGCTATGTGCAACATACATATATGTGGGTGGTCGTGTTTATACTTTTATTTTTGTGATGGAGTACTTCATTTGATAAAAGGACTTTTTCTTGTTATATTTTGTTTATCTAATGAGTGCATGGTTGCACACAAGAATGCTGTGGCACAAATGCAGAGGTCAGAAGACAATTTGAAGAAGTAGGTACTCTTTGAAATTGACGCTGCAAAAACATTTTCTTTCTTCTCTTTTTTGTTTGTTTGCTTGTTTTGTTTTGTCTTTCCAAACTGGGTTTCTCTGTGTAGCCTTGGTTGTCCTAAAACTCGCTCTGTAGACCAGGCTGACCTTCAATTCTGAGATCCACCTGCCTCAGCCTCCCAAGTGCTAGGATTAAAGGTGTGCACCATCTCCACCCACCACAAAACATTTTCTAAAGGCTGTTGCTAGTCTGTTGATAATAAGAATTATTTAGGTGATATATTATATACATAATATATATTATAAGATGATATATAATATCATTATCATAGAAACCATATTCAGAGGCAAAAAGCTTTTAGAAGCCATCAATCTAAACCATAATATTCTTGCTGTGGAAACTTAACTTTTTGGAGGAGAAATCTGAAGAGCTTCTTAGAACTCCATGTTTTCCAGACCAGTGTGATCCAAGAATAATTTTTCATAGCCAGTGTTTTGACATCCCCAACAGGTGTCTGATGATTTGTATGAAATAACAAAACAGGGCTGGAGAGATGATTCAGTCAGTAAGTGCTTTCTATATAGGTGTGAGGCCCTGAGAGTGACCCCTGGAGCCCCTGAGAGTAACAACCCAAGCCAGGCATGGTGATGCACACATATAATCCCAACACTTATTGGGGAGGGTGGAGTCAGGCAGATCCCTAGGGCTCCCTGGACAGCCAGCCTAGCCTGCTCGGCAAACTTTAGGCCAATACGAAACCCTGTCGCAGAAGACAACAAACAAACAAAAACCAAGGTGGATGGCATCTGAGGAAGGACACCAGAGGTTGACTTCTGTCCTCAGTACACACGGGCACACGCATGCTCAGGCACATACGCAGTAGCAGAGTAATCACTTTTGGTGCTGTGTGATTTCAGCCCTGGATATTAGATGCATTTGAACTGGACACATGATAGGAAGCAACAAAAGGCTAGGAGTTACGACTTCTGACATAACACCTATAATCCCAGCACTCTGTGGGCTGAAGCAGGAAGGAGTATCACAAGCTAGAGAGTAATCCAGGCTACATAATGAGATCCCCCTCCACACACACACGCCTTTTTCCCCTCCGGTAAATACCTAATATTTGTGTCAGTTCTGACAAATGTCTGTGGTTCTTTCAAGGTTGTAGGGGGGTGGACTTGACACACATAAAAAGCACTTGTCACAGGCTTAGTCGTGGTAAGTACTTGATAAAGTTTAGCAGAATAGCAAGATCAATAGCAGTCACAGCAGCCGGACCTTTACAATAACAGTAACGACAGCGGCAGCTGTCTGTAGTGCCCGTAGCTGCCCATAGCTGCGGTAGAGATCACAGTGGTGGGTCTGCAGAGTCAGTCTCTATCAGTTGCCTTAATAGGGTTGCTGCTGTGGATATCGCTCTGTATGCTGTGAATGTGTTGCTCTGATTTGGTTGATAAATAAAACGTCGATTGGCCAGTAGTCAGGCAGGAAGTATAGTATAGGTGGGACAAGCAGAGAGGGGAATTCTGGGAAGAGGAAGGTTGAGTCAGGAGACGCTGCCAGCTGCCACCACCGTGAGAAGCAAGATGTAAAGATACCAGTAATCCATGAGCCACATGGCAAGGCATAGATTTATAGAAAGGGGTTAATTTAAGATGTAAAATCTAGCTAGCAAGAAGCCTGAGCCATTAGGCCATACAGTTTTAATTAACATAAGCCTCTGTGTGTTTATTTGGGTCTGAGCAGCTTTGGGCCCAGGAGGGACTGGAAAAAACTCCAGCTACAGATTTCTATAGCATTCTCACTCACCTTTGAAATGAAACCAAAACAGGAACAATTTAATTTAAACAAAATCTTTTAATTTTACATTTATTTTTATTTTATGTGCACGAGTGTTTTGCCTGTCTTCATGTACAATGAACATAGCTGCCACCAGAGAAGATTGGAATAGATCATTGGATTCCCGGGAACCGGAGTATGGATGATTGTAAGCTACCAGGTAGGTGCTGGGAACCAAGCTTGAGTCCTCCGCAAGTGCAACAAGCACTCTTAATTGTTGACCCATCCCTCCAGCTCCAATTTAATTTTTAAAAAGTTAACTGGTTTGTAAAACAAGGTAAAAAGATGAGTAACCCCCCCTCCTTATAACTGAATTGGATTTGGTGAAAGCAAGGTAGGCTGGATATTGGGCCTTAGAGAAGTGTTTGTCTCGTATTTTTCAGAGCCCATTCTGAGAGGTTGCACCATGGGTCAGGGACATTTGAGCAGAGATCTAGGCATTTGTATGACATTCATGAAATCTTCAGGCAACTTGATGCCAATGGACAGAGCCTTGGAGATCCAAACAGAATTGCACAAGAGAATAACATACCACAAACAGGCCAGGACTGATTTATTTAGTACCACTTGGAAGCTGTTCTAAAGCTGTGTCCATTTTTAACCAGAGGATGTAACTGAAGTAAGAGATGGCTTATCTACCGTCTTCACAACGGGGATCAGTGTAGAATGAAAAAGTTAAAAAATTAAACGGACCCAAGAAAGACGTGTTACCTTCTCGGGCTATCTGCACTTCCCATACGTTACTAAGACTTATACATCTTTGTACACATATTACATACATGTTTTAGAGATAATAACATAAAAAAGCCTTTCTAGTTTCAGTTTGAACAGTATTTGTTAGATATTGGGCACAGCTAACAGATAATGTCCATTAAGTTACTGTGGATTATGTCACTTAGGCTTTTCCCAAATGTCCTACAAAGTATAGTGTGTGTGTGTGTGTGTGTGTGTGTGTGTGTGTGTGTGTGAGAGAGAGAGAGAGAGAGAGAGAGAGAGAGAGAGAGAGAGACTTTTTGACATTGAGACTCCATGTTGTCATGTATAAGCTCATCCTTGAGAACTGCATAATTGAGTTAGGAAAAAAATCACAGATAGGTTCATGTTTTCAGGAATTCTGCTTTTGTGTCAGGCTCCTCTCATTGCTGGCCTGTGGGTCTGTAGGCTGTGGGGCTGCAGACTAGACAAGCCTGGAAGGCAATGACAGTTCTGTGGGGCAGATGCTCAGTTCTGGAGAAGGACTGGAGAGAAAGGCATTTGGAAAGGAGAGTACCTCAGTGAAAGATGAAAACAAAAAAATAAAGGTTACTCTACCCAGAAGGGCCAGGGGTGGGGGTCGATGAGGAACTCTAAACTTTGACATGGCGGCGAAGATTTCTCCCAATCCTGGAACTCTCAAGTTGGCTGTGGTTAGCACAGTGTGCCGCAGGGATTGGTGGGAATCACAGAGGAGTAGAGCAGCAGAGTCCAGATCTTTTTTGTTGTTGTTGTTGAAATTTTTTTATTAAGAATTTTTTTATTCATTTTACATACCAACCACAGATCCCCCTCTTCCCTCCTCCCACCCCTCCAGCCTTCCCCCACCCCCATTTCCTCCTATAAGAAGGTAAGTCCTCCCATGGTGAGTCAGCAGAGCCTGGTACATTCAGCAGAGTCAGGTCTAATCCCTTCCCCCTGCATCAAGGCTGTGCAAGGTGTTCCACCATAGGTAGTAGACTCCAAAAAGCCAGCTCATGCACCAGGGATGGATCCTGATCCTATTGCCAGGGGGTCCCTTAAGCAGATCAAGCTGCACAACTGTCTCACTTATGCAGAGGGCCTAGTCCAGTCCCATGGAGGCTCCACAGGTGTTGGTCTAAATTTCATGAGTTTCCACTAGTTTGGTTTGGTTGTCTCTGTGTTTCCCCATCATGACCTTGATGCCCCTTGCTCCCTTGCTCATAGAACCCTTCTCTCTCTTCGCCTGGCAGAGTCCAGATCTTGAAGGACCCTACGACTACAGGAATCCTCTATGGGGACTTGAGCAAGAGAGTGGCAGGCGACTTTTTCAAGCTGTAAGTTCATACACACACACACACACACACACACACACACACACTTACGAGCTTCAAGTTGATCAAAAGCCAGGAATCTTATAACCTCCCATCACAGAAGAGAGAGAGAGAGAGAGAGAGAGAGAGAGAGAGAGAGAGAGAGAGAGAGATCATCACACTTCAAACACTCTTTGTTATGGAACATTTGTTTGCATTGTAAAGATGTGTCTTTGCCAAGTTACCTTCTGATTGGTTTAATAAAGAGCTGAGTGGCCAATAACTAGGCAGGAGACATAGGTGGGACTTCTGGGCAGAGAGAGAGGAAGAGGAATGTAGGTGCTCCAGAGAAGCCAGGACACACAGAACAAGTCAAAGGTACACAAAGAAAGAAAGGTGAAAAGCCACATGGTAGGACATAGATTAAAAAATATGGGTTCATTTATGTGATAAGAGCTAGTTAGGAACAAGCCTAAGCTATAGGCTGAGCTTTCACAATTAATATAAGCCTCCATGTCACTATTTGGGAGCTGGCTGGTGGGACAGAGAAAGACTCCTTACAGTTCTTCCGTCTGTTCCTCTAGTGGTGTGCTTCACTTCAGCCTCCATAGCAAGTGTCCCTCTCCTGTGCAGCTTTCCAGAGTTACTAAGGCAATTTTCAAGTAAACTTATATATACTTTTATCTTTCCAGACAAATGAAGGTTATGATTATTAATCTCTTACAGAGATAAGTCACCAGGTATTTAACCTTTTTCCCCAATGTATTTGAAAATATTAGACTGGGCCGGGCAGTGGTGGCGCACGCCTTTAATCCCAGCACTCGGGAGGCAGAGCCAGGCAGATCTCTGTGAGTTCAAGGCCAGCCTGGGCTACCAAGTGAGTTCCAGGAAAGGCGCAAAGCTACACAGAGAAACCCTGTCTCGAAACACACACACACACACACACACACACACACACACACACACACGTATTAGACTGTCTCAGATGTAGGGAGCAGACAGCAATTGGTTCTCTTTGGCGTGGTCTTCCCTCCCTTACTCCATTATTCCAGTTCCCTGCTCTTCTCTGCCCAACTCCTACTCTTCTCCCCTATTCCTTCCTCAATCTCTCCCCCTTTGCCTCCTCCTTCATTAAAAGTAGATGTGCTCCTCCTCTGCGGCAGGGGAGGTGGGGTGGGGGACTGGGGCATAGAGCAAAATGTTGCCATCACTAAAGATCAGAGATCTAGAAGGAAACTCTGTAGAGTTTTTAAAGCCTTATTTGTGGCTGACACAGCAAAAGGCCTGACACACACACACACACACACACACACACACACACACACACACACACACCGCCTTCCAAATGCTGACATTCCTTCATTATTAAGGGCTATCTGAAGACATCTGCTCATCTGCTGTTTTTATTCTTGCCTATCCTCTAACTCATCCAACGTGCTTTCTAAACAGTAGCCAAAGTGGCCTTCTGAAAGCATAAACTACAGTGCACTCCACGTGAAACCCTCTGCTGGTTCCCAATGATGCTTAGAAGGAACAACTTAGTCCTGGACATAAACACACATCCTGCCTGGCCCTGCCTGGCCCTGCCCCCAAATCCTCCGGCCCAACAGTGGCCAGTCATGTGAGGCTTAGGTAACTTCCTAGATTCTAGGACCTAGAATGTTCCAAGAATTGACCCGCCAGAAAGACTTTGCACACACCATTCCCGTTGCTCTTCACAGGTCTGTGCTTGTCTCTCAGACTTCCCTTCCTGGGTGCCATCATTCTCCACCGCTGTTCTCTAACATACGGAATCCATCTTCCTCTAGCATTTACTGCAATCAAAAGTGATGGACATCGTCTCTTTCTTTAGAACCTTACTTTCTCTGTCTTGATCACTCCCACATTCCTAGGTACCTAACATAGTGCAGGGCACAAAACAGGCCCTCAGCAAACACTCTGACAAGCTGTTCGAGCCTGGCCTGTCAGATGAGCGCTTGCCATGGGATACCCACACCCAGGATAGTGTCAATCATTTCTGGTTGCGTTGAAGTCTGAGAGATGAGCTCAGATCAGCGTAAAGCAGTGGGAACAGCATGTGCAAAGCCCTGGAGGCAGGTAAAATCTTGGAATGTTCGAGATTCCAAAAAAAGCACAGATTCTAAGACCCAATTTTGAGAATTTTGATTCAGGAGTTCCTAGGAGGGAGCCAATTTCATTTCCTCCTCTAGACTCTGATCCAAAGTCAGTTCTCTGTGAGCTGTTGGGTTGTGCAGGTGACGTCCCCACAGGTAGCTAGCTGCTTGCTTTTGCCATTGTGTTGGATGCTGATGTGGGACGCTATGGCCGCTGTAAAGCACCACAAGGAGCAAACACAGCTAACTCATCTCAGTGTCAAAGGAGGCTAATTAGACCCGCAAAACCCTCTCTGTCAGCAGGCGGGTAAGGTGCCCTGGGAAGCAGCTGGCAGAGATTTACCCACTTCCTGCCCCTGAAAGAGGCTGTCAGAGGAATCAGGGCTCCTTGTAGTAATCCTCAATCAGCTTGCTCATCAGAGGCTTTGGGGCATGTGGAAACAACATCAGGACCAAATGATAATCTGAAAGAATTCAGATCCTTTCTTTAGGGAGGATCTCTTATTTACATTTCAATGTTAGGCTTCTTTCTGTTCTTTACAGAGAATCCCATCTAAGGGGCTCTTGGCCGCTTTCTGGAAAATTGCCAATATTTTTAAAGCCGCTTTTGTTCATGGCTGTTAATATAATGGTTTCTCTCGTAGAAGAAAATTTTTTTAATGTTCTATATTTTTTTATCTTGTTTTTGTTTTTCCTTAGCTGTTTCTGTGGTTGTTCTGAAATATGAGAGATTGTGCTGTTTGAGAATGACTAGGGAAAAAAGCACGTAATGTTCAGATGCAATTTTTTTTTTTATTGATTGATTCGTTTACTCTGCATGCAGAGCTCTGGAGCATGGAGGAATATGTGTGTGTGTGTGTATATATGCAAATACACACAACACACATACACAAATACATATATACGTGTGTGTGTGTGTGTGTGTGTGTGTGTGTGTGTGTGCATGAGGAATAGTAACATATGTATATAATTTACCCATGCTGGGGATATATTGCAAAAAACAAAAAGGGAATCACTTAGGCATTTATATGAAAAACAAATCATTTTTCATATACTTTGATTCTGCAATTTGACTTCTTAGAATTTACCCAATTACCCTAAGCAAATAAACTTGGATATATACAAATATGTAGCTAGTAAGATGTTCATCAAAGAACTGTTTGTACTTGTGAGAAATGAAAACAGTTTAGATATGTAACAATTAAAGGGTTGGTTACATGAGCTATGAAATTTGTAAACTATAGTTCCTGACAGGGAAATCTTAAAAATTACATTGTTCTAGAATATGTAATTACCTCAAAACTAGTCTGATTTCATCAACTAGGAAACACAGGGAGCAGACCGGACGTCGCACAGTCATCATGACACTTGGGCATCGGAGGCAAGCGGATGGCTGCAAGTTCAAGGGCAGCCATACCACAGAGTGAGTTCAAGAGCTACAGAACAAAACTCTATATCAAAAACAAACAGTAAACCAAAGAACACAGGGCTAGGGACACAGCCAGGGGCAGAGTACTGGCTTCCATGGCCAGATCCCTGGGTTTAATGTCCAAACTGCTGAAAGCCATAAAGGGGATATCATAGTATGGGGTTCCTATTTCTGAAGAAAAAGCATTCATTATCCTTGCTGTCAACAGGGAAATAAGGTGAAAAATTCATTTTTCTCTCTAGCTTTGTATGTCATTTTCAGGTTTGTAGAAAAATATCTGTATTTCTGAGTAAAGAGCTGCAAAATTCAAAATTTGAAAATAGCCGGATGGTGGTGGCACGTGCCTTTAATTCCAGCTCTTGGGAGGCAGAGACAGGTAGAGCTCCAAGTTCAAGGCCAGCCTGGTCTACAGCATGAGTTCCAGGATAGCCAAGTCTACACACAGAGAGACCCTGTCTCAAAAAAACAAAAGAAAAATTTTTTTTTTTTTTTAAAAAGGATTTATAGTGGTGAAGTCTTTCCCCATCCCAGTCCTTCAGACATCCATGCCCCTCTCTAAAAGCACCTAAAATGTTTCGTTTCCTATTTATTTTTCAATAATCTGCCTGATTATGGAAATAAATCATTAAAATAATGATTTTAGATTTATCATTTTGGGGGTCGGGTAGTGTTTGAGGCAGGTTCTCTCAATGTAGCTCTGGGTGTCCTGGAACCTGCTTTATAGACCAGGCTAACCTTGAACTCATGGAGTTTGGCATGCCTCTGCCTCTTGAGTACTGAGACTAAAGGTGTACAGAACCATACCTGGCTTTTATTTCTACTTAAATACATTCTTTTAACTTTTTGCCACAAAAATATCCTGTCATGCACACTGTTTTAAAGCTTGATATAGTCAATAAATGTACGTATACATTTGCACTTTCATTTGCGTGGGAGTATATCTGATCGATACATGTCGAAAAGTAGAATTTCTGGGTCAATGTAAATGTACATTTGTAGCATGAAAAAAAATTATTGGCTGGGCGGTGGTGGCGCACGCCTTTAATTCCAGCACTCGGGAGGCAGAGGCAGGCAGATCTCTGTGAGTTCGAGGCCAGCCTGGTCTACAGAGTGAGTTCCAGAAAAGGCGCAAAGATACACAGAGAAACTCTGTCTCAACCCCCCCCCCAAAAAAATTGCCCCACCCAAATTAAAAAAAATTCTTTTCACAGTTTTTCCCCAGTACTTCAATGGTTTGATTTTTAAAAAAGAAAGGAAGGGAGGGAGGGAGGAAGGAAGGAGGGAAGGAAGGAAGGAAGGGAAAGAGAAAACAAAAAAAGAAAGAAAACAAAAGCTACAACAACAAAAAACATTTATCTTCAGATTTATCTTAATTTATCTAGCTTTGATAGACACTAAGGACAAAAATGCTTTAAAATGCTCAACCCCTCCCTTACATGGAAATTCAGGGGCCTCTTATCCCCATCTGTCAGGTCACAGGATCTAGATGCAGATAAGGGCAGCCTGCACAGTTTCACTTACACAGGGGTGAATACCACAGCAAGAGCTGAGCTGTTCTCCCCAGGGGTACGGCTTTCAGAGCCTGCTGAAGAGAAGAGACGAAGCTTGGAAGCTTGCCTTCCACCTTCAAGGGGCTTTTCTTTCATTCCAGAAAAACTGCGTTTGCTGGCTGGATTTTCGGATTTTCACTCTTATGTTTTGTGAGCTGGTTAAATAAGCCCCAACAGGCTCCCCCTGGTGATCTAGGGCATGTGGGTGGGGGCTGCACAGAGTTGGACCCGACCACGGGAGGGCATTAGAAAAGAATGCAGTTTATTCCTGCACAGATTCTGGGGGCCGGCTACTCCCGGCCGGCGCAGCAGCTGTACTGAAATGTCAGGTGGATTTGTCCAGCTGACTCAAGTTGCCGAAAAGGGAGTCATGTAGTAGTTCCACAACCTGACTCTGCCCAGAAAACCTTGCTTAATATAGATCCCACATGAGCCGAGCCGTAGTCACTCCTAACAACTCAACAGACACCATTGAGGGAGAAAATATCTCAAGGGTGGGTTGACCTGGGATTATTCGTTAACCTGAAGACAAATTAGGTTTTCGCATACTGGTTTTTTTTTTTTAATCATCTTGGATTATTTCTTCTTTTCTGGTGATCTAGAAACAAATAGAAAAAGTAAGCAATGTCGGAGCACAGCAGAAATTCCGATCAAGAAGACACCCTCAGTGAGGAGCTTAATGAAGATGAGATCTTGGCCAACTTGTCCCCTGAAGAGCTGAGGGAGCTGCAGTCGGAGATGGAAGTCATGGCCCCTGACCCCCACCTACCTGTAGGGATGATCCAAAAAGATCAAACCAACAAGGCACCTACGGGAAACTTTGACCACAAGTCTCTCGTTGACTACATGTATCTGCAAAAGGCGTCTAGACGCATGCTGGAGGATGAACGAGTTCCCGTCAGTTTTGTGCAGTCTGAGGTAACCAGGGATCTGTGTGGGACACAAATGGCTGCCGGGGCTGGGCTGGCAGGGTCTGTTTTGCAATGGTGATTTCTCAAGACTACAGGATGTGGTTCTGTTTTGGATTCTACTGCATCTAAATTAAATCACAATATCAAGTCCTATCCCATACTGTAACTTTCTGAAGAACAGTATAATTGCAAGGGGGTAAGCTGATGACTTCTTGTCAGTGTCTCTCTTTCAACACTGACACTGGGGTCCCTGTGTGGAGTTCATGGTCTGTGGCCATGATATATAGTGCTTTAACTCATAACCCGGAAGCAGCTGTTCTGACATTTTTGGCTTCTCCCTTTGAGAATCTCATCAAAACCTCTACTCCCCCTTTCTTTAGCCTGCTTGTGCACACACAATATTTTACATATAGTGTCAAAGACTCCCCGGTTCTGAGGAAATCTGGCCATACACACTAAACCAAACCCAAGACTGAGAATGTGGGCATACTGTCCTTTGAGCATCAATGATGATGTAAAGAAATTGGTGGCTAAGAAGCTGTTTTTAAGAGAGTCGATTTCTTGAGATATCTCAATCTAAAAACTAGAACTGCCATGAGCTTTACAAACCTACTATATATAAAGCACAATTAAAAAATTTAATTACATTTTATTATTTGTGTGTGTGTGTGTGTGTGTGTGTGTGTGTGTGTGTGTGTTTGTAGGTCAGGTTTGGTGGCAGCTGCCTTTACCTGCTGAGCCATCTTGATGGCCCTAAAGCATAGATTTTTAACGTCGCACTTACAAATGACTTGGGAAAAAAGAAGACAGATTTCCCAAGTACAATTTCTTCAGACCCACTTGCTATATACAGGTGTATCTTATCACATTGCTGTCACACTGGTGTGATGAAAGGTAGGAGTGAACATCAACACGATCTGAACTCCAGGAAATAAATCTCTGGCTTGATCAGGCTAGAGCTTACCGTGTGGTTTGCAAACTTCTTACAGTTGCAGGTCTGTGGATTTGAAGACAATCCCACACGAATACCCACTTTAGGAGGGATGCAGAATCAGTGTTTTTTTGTTTGTTTTTTTTTTTCTTTCTACCCTTGGTGTACATTAACCAGCTTGATGATTGGACTCCCCCTGCTGGGACAGATGGGGAATGCGACGGTGCAGGCTTTAGGAGGAAGTTAAGGACTATGTTGTCTACTCCTTCAATGTATCATCAGCATTAAGTTTTTGCTCAGACTGCCGTGTGTCAGACTTCTCCAAGCTTTCAGAATTACACCTACAAGATACACAGATGGGTGAAGAGTGTAGTCATCGATGCACGAGAATCTAGTAAACACTGACCTGAAAGACTGTCCTTTCTCTTCCCAGACAGAGCAAAGAGTTGTAAATCTCACCCTAATCCCATTCCATTTAAGGCTGGCTCTTCCTTCAGAGACTAATGACATTAGAAAACACTGGCGGTTTTTTTTTTTTTTTTTTTCCAGAGCCAGGTTCCAAACCAAGGTTTTAAAAACACACTCTAGCTTCTCAGACTCCTCTCACTTCCCTGCACCATGTCATATTCTCGAGAAATGCAGTGTGCCTGTCGATGAAAGCAGTGGGTACTTTCAGAAGGCTGTTTACCTGTAGCGTACAGGGAAATTCTTTTCTAACACAGTGCCGTCGAGTGCAAACACTCCTGTTCAACTACACATAAAGGCTTTGGTACATGGACTTTAAAATCTGTATCATCAAGTTTCCAAATATATTTTAACACCATTTTTTAAAATATAGACTCTCAAAACAAAATTAACTAGGTTTTATTTTAATGCACTTGGCCTTGTGTATCCTCAGGGACTATAGCCTTGAATTCTACCAATTGTGAATTGAAAACACTAAAAAGAGTTTTTTGTTGTTTTGTTTTGCCACGTGGACTGGATTTATACAGATTTTTTTCTTTTCATTTTTTTGAACAATACAGTATCCCTGTTTACATTACTTGTGTAGTAGACATTACATTGTCTAGAGACAATGTATAATACTGCTTGTATGGGTTAGGTGTGTGCAGGCTATATATGTGTATGTGTGTCTATACATATATATGTATGTATATATCTCCTATATATGAGAGACTTAAGCATTCATCAATTTTAGTGTTCTAGGAACCAATTTCCAAAGAACCCAACAGATGAGTGTCTGGAAGGAGAGAAGCACAGCCCCAAGTGTGTGTCTACAAAAGTCCATCCTTATTTAGTTGTATTTACTTATCATAGGGTCTTCTGTATCAGAAAGACAAGGCAAACTTAAAACCTAAGGCCACACAGTACAAACACTGGACAACCAGCAGACCTTTCTTGTCTAGTCAGGAACTCACTATTTAGACCAGGCTGGCCCAGAACCCAGTGATCTGCCTGCCTCTGCCTCCCGAGTGCTGGGATTAAAGGCGTGCACCACCAACGGCCCGGCAAGTTTTTACAAAATCTTTTATGTATATATGTGTGTGGATGTGTACATGTTTGTGTGTGTGTGTGTGTGTGAGAGAGAGAGAGAGAGAGAGAGAGAGAGAGAACCTCAGGTGTCAGTCCTCAGCATTCACCTTGTTCAAGTCAGGGTCTCTTATTCACCACTGCATATGCCGGGCTAGCTGGCCCATGAGCCTCCAGAAATTCTTATGTCTCTATCTCCCATCTCTCATCTTACCTCATGTGGGCACTGGAGATTTGAACTCAGGTTCTCAGATCCCCAGGCTTGTGGAGCAAGTACTTTACCCACTGAACCATTTCCCCATCCCTGAAAATGTTCTATTTTTTGTTTTTTTGTTTTTTTGAGACGGGTTTCTGACAGGGTGTCTTTGTGTAGCATTGCTGTCCTGGAACTCGTTCTGTAGACCAGGCTGGCCTTGAACTCACACAGATCCACCTGCCTCTGCCTCCCAAGTGCTGGGATTAAAGGCATGAGCCACCACCGCCCAGCTAAAAATATTTTTTTTAAAGATTTGTTTTTATTTTTAATTGTGTGTACGTTGGAGGAGCCTGTGTGTGTGAAATTAGTGTTAGTGTATTTGGGAATAGTGCCTGAGGAGGCCAGAAGAGGGCATCAAATCTCTGGAGCTGGAGTTGGGAGCCGCTCTAAGTAGCCAGACATGGGTGGGGTTGGGGAACCAAGCTCAGGTCCTCCCGAAGAGCAGCAAATATTCCTAACTGCTGAGCCCCATGTATTCTAACTGTCACATACCTGTCTTTTAGGAAAACACTCAAAAACATCATGAAGTAAGAGACAAAGGCATTAAAAACATGCCCCAGTTTTTAAAAGAAAAGCTTAATAGTGAAATAGTTGCAAATAAAAGAGAATCTAATGGGGGTAACAATATACAAGAAACAGAAGATGATGATGAAGAAGATGAAGAGGAGGAGGAGGATGAAGAAGATGAAGAGGATGGAGAAGATGAAGAGGGTGAAGATGATGAAGATGAAAAAGCCAATGAACAAACCCAGAACAATTCAGGCGCCTGTCAGCAGCTGACCACGAAAGCACTAGAAGAACAAAAAGACAGACCAGAGACCAAAGAAAAACTTGAGAAGAAAATAGCCAAATTAGACCCTAAGAAGTTAGCTCTCGACACCAGCTTTCTGAAGGTAAGTGCAAGGCCTTCAGGGAACCAGACAGACCTGGATGGAAGCTTGAGACGAGTAAGACAGAACGACCCCGACATGAAGGAGCTCAACCTGAACAACATTGAAAACATCCCCAAAGAAATGTTACTGGACTTTGTCAATGCCATGAAGAAGAACAAACACATCAAAAGCTTTAGTCTGGCTAACGTGGGTGCAGACGAGAGTGTAGCGTTCGCCTTGGCCAACATGCTGCGGGAAAACAGGAGCATCACCACGCTTAATATCGAGTCCAACTTCATCACAGGGAAGGGCATCGTGGCCATCATGAGGTGCCTCCAGTTTAACGAGACTCTCACCGAGCTGCGTTTTCACAACCAGAGGCATATGCTGGGCCACCACGCCGAAATGGAAATATCAAGGCTTTTGAAGGCCAACAACACTCTGCTGAAGATGGGCTACCATTTCGAGCTTCCGGGCCCCAGAATGGTGGTGACGAATCTGCTTACCAGGAACCAGGATAAACGGAGGCAGAAAAGACAAGAGGAGCAGCAGCAGCAGCAACTTAAAGAGCAGAGAAAGCTGATAGCTATGTTGGAGAATGGGTTGGGGCTGCCCCCTGGGATGTGGGAGAGGTTGGGAGGACCCATGCCCGATCCCAGAATGCAGGAGTTTTTCCAGCCTTCATCCGGACGGCCTCTCGCGGCTCAGGAAGTCCCCTTTGGTGGAAGAAAGGAAATGATGAAAAATCCACCCCAACCTCCACAGTCCATGACCGACCCTGACTCCTTCAGGGTGGTGAAGCTGAAGAGAATTCAGCGCAAATCTCGAATGCCGGAAGCCAGAGAGGCACAGGAGAAAACCAACCTCAAAGATGTCATCAAAACGCTCAAGCCGGTGCCGAGAAATAGACCACCCCCGCTCGTGGAAATCACTCCCAGAGACCAGCTCTTGAATGACATCCGACACAGCAATGTTGCCTACCTAAAACCGGTAAGGAACAGGTCGGGGAAATACGAGTATTTATTTCCCAGTTCCCCTCCTTCTCTCTCTCATTTATATTGTATTTATTTTGGGGACAGACTTACGTATCTCAGGCTGACTTGAACCTGCTAGGTAGCTGAGGGTGATGTACCCTACCATGCCTGGCTAATGCGGGCTGGGGATTGAATCCAGGGCTTTGTACATGCTAGGCAAGTGCACTATCGGATGAGCTATATCCCCAGGCCTGTTAGTTTAATGCAACAGGAGCTTGACTATTGGTAAGCAGAGGAGCAACACCAACAGAGGTAAGATCCTAGTTACTCTTAAGAATAGACCCCGATATGCCCTGTGATGATAATGCTTGCAGCTAAGGTTTATTGAGCGCTTGACTCCTGTAATCATCCAAATTCTAGAAGGTTGGTACAATTACTCTCCCCATTCTGTGAAGGAGACACTGATGCTTTGGGGAGTTACTAACATGTCTAGCAGCTGCCACCAGGAAGTGATGGCACTGATGTTTTGAGGCGTTAAGCTTTTATTTAGTGTGTTGTTTTGAATTCTTGGTGTGCACGTGTAAAATCAGACCATTCTAGGTACATAGAACTGAGAACTAGAGACTCCAGAAGCCTTCTAGAAGGAACAATTAAGGGGAAAAACCAGTTAAGCCTCATTTGTAAGAAGCTGGAATTAAAGCTACAGGGAATCAGTTCTTGATCAGAAGATGAAGCTAGACCATCCGCAAATACATTTCTGTTTGCCTTTTAGGCAAGCAGCCAAACAGCCAACCTCAGGTTACCATCTTCATGAGCCAATGGAGTTTAAAATACCTCAGGTTTAATATCCATGGAGCCTCTATAAAATTCTGAGATAAAGCTGACTAGTAGAGCTGGCTTTATTCCATGAGCTTAGGTTGCAGAAATGAATTTTTTGGTCATTATTACAGTAGCAGTCATACAGGCTGAAGGATCGATGTCCATAGGCCATATTGATTAATGCTTGTCATTTAAGAAAAATATTGCCTACAACTGAGCTAAGAGATTGTGTTGACAACATAATCGATACATTATTTCATCATAGAGATTCCCATTTTTTTTTTTAGAATGTGGAAAGCAAATATTCATGTGAGTTTGTGGGTTTGATTTTTTTTTTTCAGTTTTATTGAGCTTTCTAATCTTAACATAACTACTGTCATTCACATACGTGTATTGGGATGTCTTGAATTCCCATCTCCTAGAAATGTATTGTCATTGTCCCATTTTCTGCATCAAAGATGGTTTTCATCTGTGGTTTGGAGAGCGCTGGATTGGTCCTGGGACAGGTGTCAGGGGAGAATTCTAGAAGTCACATGAGGTCAGGCAGAGGACCTTTGGGCAGGACACAAGACTGTCTGCACCTGCTCTTCCTGGGGCAGCCAGACCTCCGCTGGGGTAGGTGAGGGTGCTGGCTGTGAAAACTGTCACTTTGAAGTCATGGATGGACAATATTCAAGCTGTCTCAGTGCTCCACAGTCAGAAAATAACAAACTAAAAGGAACAAGAGTTTTAAAATCCACGTTGAAGGGAGAGGAGTTTAGGTGACCAGTTGAGCAAACCTCAGGAATCTGGAAAGAAGGAATGTTCCATTGAGACTATCCCATTCCATCCACTCACTGGCATTACTGTAGTAACTGCCCTTTTCAGTGTGGAGGGAGGGACAGGGGATTCCAGTGAATAAATTGGGTACAGGCTGAACCTTGTGGAGCTTACAAAGTAGCTTTTCAGGGCCAAGATTCTTTGTGTTTTAAATAACAGAGGACATATCATCTTTAGGTTTAAATTTTAGAGCAAAGGACATGAAAATAAATCCATGTTGATAACTGTAAGAGTAAACACCCTACAAAATGGGAATGTGTTCATCTGTTCTGTAATGCTATCCATTTTAAATGTACTTAATCAGCTTGCATGCATGTGTGTGTGTGTGTGTGTGTGTGTGTGTGTGTGTGTGTGTGTGTGTACAGGTTATCTTGCCTATTCATGTTCATGTGGTGGCCAGAGGTCAACATCAGGTCTTTTTCTATTGTTCTCTACCTTATTTTTTATTTTTATGTGTATGAATATTTTCCTGTATGTATATCTGTGCACCATTCAAAACTTGATGCTCTTAGAGGCAAGAAAAGGGCTCTAATCCCCCGGAAATGGAGTTACAGAGAGTTGTGACCCACCTGATGTGGGTGCTGGGAACTGAGCCTGGGTCCTCTGGAAGAACAGCCTGTGTTCTTAACCATTGAGCTAACTCTGCAGGTACTCAATCTCAGTTTTTTTGAGATCCATCTACTGAATGTAGAGCTTGATGTTTTAGGTAGACCATCTGGCCAATGAGCCCCTGGGATCTGCCTATTTCTGCCCCTACCCTGGCACTGGGGCTATGGGTAGTGCACCACCACACCCAGCACTCTTTGTGGGTCCCGGGGATCTGAACTCAGGTCCTCATGCTTGCACAGTATACACCTTACACTCCGAGCTGCCTCCCTAATGTCATTCTTCTTAAAAATAAACCGCAAAGGAAAATCCTTTGTGAGTGGCAGCCTTGCTTATTGGCTTCTGCTCTGAAATGGCGTTGTGCCTTCCGATTGCTGACAGTTCCTCTTGCCTTCAGTTGCCCGGCGTGGGCTGCAATGGCTATCTTTTTGCACCAATGCCCCCACGACGTCTTCTATTTAGTCCTATAAAGTACTCTGTGAGGACAAGGTATAAGCACATCACTCCACTGTTGGATGTGTGTAACTTACATCCACTTGAAAGGATAAAAACAGAAAGGTGAAGTGGGTACCTTTTGGTGGGCCCTGCCTCTAAGCAAACACTCCACTCAAAACAGCGTTAGTGCAGGAGGTTTATTGGGGGAGCAGGAAAGAGAGTGGAAGAGTAGAGAGGTCATGTCAAAGTGGGGACTTGAGAGAGGCAGACAGACAGACAGACAGGGAAGAAAGAAGAGAGGCAAGAGAGCAAGCAGCAAGTAGCAAGGCAGCAGGCTGCGCCTGGCGGCTGCACATGTCTCATAGCTGACAGTGGAAAGGCACCTGGTAGCAGGTGACCTAACTGCTTTGGCAGCAGAGGCGGGCTACTGCTGAGCTGGAAACTGACATTCTTCCCTTTTGTTTATTATTAGAAGGTGAGGAAATAGGAAAGAGTAGCAGGTAAGACTGGAATGGGGCACCGTGTTCTCTAGACTGCTTCCTGTTGTCTGGGCACATCTTTGGGGGGCCTGAGAAAGACGGGATGCTGGCCAAGTCCTGGGATAGCTGGCTGTTTCACTCGCTGTCCCGGCTCTGTGGGACCATCTTTGGCGATAAGAGCTAGGAAAGTGCAGGCCTAGTTGGAGCTGTCTGTGAGGTTGGACCATTTGGGGGCAGCCATTTTCAACCTGTCTGGAATGCAGATTTTGAGGGGACCCGGCATGATGATGGCAGAGCAGAAGATAAAGTTAAGAAGTTTAGGGGGAAATTTTTTCTTAGATCCTGGTAATTGAGGAAGGGGAGTCCCAAGACCAGGGGAGATCCCACCCTCAGGAACAGGAAGTAGGTGGGGAAACTTAGGCCATTGATTGACAGTCCATTTGATGACCTGTTCGAAGTGGATCCAAGTTGACTTCCTGGAGCTTACAAGAATTTTTTTGAGTTCACAAAAAGAGAAAAGTTTTAGACACATTAGTATTCCCACTGTGAAACAAATCTGAGACATATTTCACCTTTTTATACACATTAGATCTCTTTTTTATCACCACTTAAGGTTTTTCATCCTCAGACCTCTATAACTTGCATTTATACACCTTACATCACTTTCTTATCACAATTTAAGCTTTCATATCTTCACGTAAACGTTACATTTTTTTCCTATCTAATCATTTACCAGGAGACACAGGTGGTTGATTACTGAGAGCAGTCATTGTAAAGCGAGTTCCTTTCAATAAAGGAACAGTAAAAAGTTTCATTGAAATCTGCTCTGTGAGTTTATCTCTCTGTCTGAGTCTGGTAACTAGGGAAACTGTGTCTAGACCTAGCAGTAGCTCTAGGAAAGTGAAGCCTGTGGCCTGAATTTTACACAGGAAGAGAACTGTGAAGGCAGCTGAAGCGTTGGCTGCTGCTGTTAAAGCGACCAACCCATTACTAGCCTCGTCATCAAATACCATCAGAGTTCTGAGATGGATGAATTTCACCTGAGTGAGCAGGAGTGCAGAGCAAGCAGCTTCGGAATCTATTAAAAATGACAGGGACAGTTACTGGCTGCCTAGACAGCCACCCCAAGGTCCTCCCTCTGTGATTGCTGGGGACAGAGGTCTCAGGGCAGCATCAATCTTGGGCCACCAGACCCAGAAGATCTGACAGACTTCCTGTGGAGTAGGAACTCGTTGGGGGAGGGGAGGGGAGGCTGGGAAGCCAGCCTACCCTGTCTAGGCAAAGCGGGGCAATTTGTCCTGACTGTCCACAGTCTGGACAGGGTCTTAGCAGCAGTTGAGGTGAAAGGCAGTTTTTGGTGTCCCCCCTCCCCCGCCAGGGGCTGGTGTTGCCACATTTAAAGCAGTCTCCAGGTGGAGGTTCTTTTGTGCCCATCCATCTTCTTTGGAGGAGATAGGGGTGCTACTGGGAGCTGGCATGCCTCTCTATCATGAAAAGCTTTATTTTATTATTATTTTTTTATTTTTAAACACTTTAAACGCCGCATTCTGCATAAGCTCCCACTGCTCTGTTCTGTGTCTTCTTTCCCCAGGACGAATGTCTGCTTTAAAGCCAGATCACAGAGCAATCTTTTCAAAGTGTTTCAGGTTTTTTTTTTTTTTTAGCTTCTCTTTTGAAATCATATTGATTGACAGACACTCATAAACCAGCACAAAGACTTCTTACCTCCACGCATCACCTGCTCCCTATCTGCTGTCATTATTGAAACTGCAGTGCATGCAGCTGCATGTGAGTGAGCCCAAGGCACGTGGCTCGTTGGAAGTAATGGTGGTGTGCGCTTGCCCTTGCTGTGGCCAGCTGCTGCAAACACCGTCAGCTGCAAGGTGCTTCCTCCTACTGGAGGAAGAGGAGCACCACACAGCTCCATCTTGGACTCAGTGACATGCTGGGAGCACTAGCAGCGGTAATGTCCTGACGGCCAGAACAGAGGTGTGTTTGTCTTGGTCAGTCAAACAAGACCTCACCCGGTTCTTTTTATAAAGGGACATGAAAGTTTTTGTGGATTTGGGTAATGAGGTAAAAATTTATACACAATTTTGATATCTTGTGGGGTTTGGGTTTTTTTGTTTTGTTTTAAACTAATATCCCTGCCCTGGTTGGGTGGTTTGTTTGTTTGTTTATTTATTTATTTATTTATTTATTTATTTATTTATTTATTTATTTATTTATTGTCAACTTGGCACAAGCTGGAGTCATTTGAGAAGAGGGAACCTCAATTGAGAAAATGCCCCCAGCAGTCTGGTCTGTGGGCAAGCCTATGGGCTATTTTCTTGATTAATGATTAGAATGATGTGGGAGGTTCCAGCCCACTGTAAGTGGTGCCATCCCTAAGCATGTGGTCCTGGATTGTATATATTAAAAAAAAAGAGAGAGAGAGAGAGGGAGGGAGGGAGAGAGAGAGAGAAAGACAGAAAGAAAGACAGAAAGAAAGAAAGAAAGAAAGAAAGAAAGAAAGAAAGAAAGAAAGAAAGAAAGAAAGAAAGAAAGAAAGAACG